AACCCTTCATATTCTTGCTTTGTATGTTAAAGAATATATATATATATATATATATATATATATATATATATATAAATAAATAAAAGATGTTTTTAGGAAAGGACACTTTTTTTATGTGTGTATATATATATATAAAAGATGTTTTTAGGAAAGGACATTTACAAATGTGAGTACTCATTATGAGATCAATTATAAGATCATATTGATGGCAACTTTTTTTTCTCTTTTCCAACTATTTACAGGTAACTATTAGGTTGTCAGGGTTTTTAAGAAAAAAGCGGTACTTTGTAGTTGCACATTTCATATGTGATGCAAAACATATTCATTTTTTACTTTGATAGCTGTACCTGAGTACCAAGGATGTCATTAGAAGCAGCCTGATGGTTAAAAGAATCATTCTGAAACAGGCAATTTTTCAGAAAAACCTGCCTCTTTCATGTACCTGAAAGAAGTATAGCAAAAGCACAGGCAACCTTCTTAAAAGCAGACAATATTGTTAAGGCAGACTCCTCCCGCAAGCTGTCATGATATATGCTCTAAGATATGTGAAGAATGCAAAAGTCCAATCCATGGCTTAATGTGCGGTCTCTTTGACTCAAAACCTCCAAGGGGAAAAGAACGGAGAGGCCCTCTGACTTAAAAATAAACAACAGAAACTGGCCCCACTCTTCCCAGTGTATTTTAAAACAGAAGGCAGCATTCTTTCCTCTCAAGATACAACAGCGAAATGACAGGAGACCTTGAACAACTTTCTACACGTCTTCAGCAGCTGCAGTATTCAGCAGCAATTTTTATCACGCTTCATTCTAACAGAACGGTGAGCAGTCTTTGGTTTTAACAGCTTTTGTTCATAATTCGACTCACTCTTTTTGCACATTATAAGTGATATAGATTGATCAATATTCCAGCGAATAAGAAGATGAAAGCTGGATCACACATGCACACTCATCAAGCTTTGGAAACTGATACAGGGTGGTAACTTGCATATGGGAATGGGCCTTCAACAAACAGGCTACCACAGACAGAGCTCTTCCATGAGCTTAGCACAATGTCTTGGACCAAAAGAGATCCACTCACGCTAGAGGTAAAGGACAAGAAAGCCATTACTCTAATTCTTCCTCTCTGAAGTCCACATGCTACTGAGAAGCTGCTTTGGAGGTTGGGGACAATCTACAGTACAGTTGTTCACTGAAAGTAAGTTGCATATATTTGCAAACCATAAAAGATTGGATAATCATGTGGTGCAAAATCTCATAGCTATGGAAAGTGCCTTTTACTAAATCAGAGCATGGCCCAACCAACGCAGTCTAACTTATACTGGCTCAGATCAGCTCTCTGTAGAATCCAGGAAATATTTATTTTCCTAGTCTTGCTGCTCAAGTTCATAACTTATAACTAGTTATGAAGAATATTTTTTCCTGAGCATTATATTCTTGCCTTCACATATATGTCAAATAAGTTATTGGATATTGGAGTTAGCCTCATCTTATCCTGAAAATATGAACAATTCTTATTTCTAATCTGTACTTGAATATATATGGGGCACACCAAGGTCATATGGTAATCCATGGTGATCTTAGAAACATGAAAAGTAATCATTTTCAAAATCTGAAGAGTCCAGTGGGAAAGATAAAAATGACATTCACATATCCCAGGATGATGTTTACTAGCTATTTGTAACTACATGTAAGTAACTAAGCACAGTGATATAGAGAAGTAAGTATTAAAAAAATGTCCTGAGCCCTATTTCAGAATCACTAATAAAATGTGATCATTTATTTTGGTTTCTCCCATTTGTAGAAATCAATGCTTACTACGATTTTTTATAATTTTTTTTGCCTCTGCTGCTGTCCTCATCATCTAAACCTATACAGTAAAAGAAAAAATGAATTTAATATGAAAGATGGCAGAAAAGGAGCCAATGTTGTGTAGTAGTTAAGGTGTTAAACTGGCAACAGGAAAATCTATGCTTACCTTCTTTCAGTAGAGTGTATTCCAAAGTTCATGTATAACTAGAGAGAAGATTGACGCTTGAGTTACAGCCAGCTGGCACTGTCTCCCATCTTTGCAAAATGAACTTGAGGGGTAGAAAGACATGTTGTGGTTATATGTGTGGTTCTATGCACACACATGTACATACACACACATGACACACATAGGCACAACTAACCATCAGAATGAGGCAGCTGTAGTGGCAAGATGTTTAAGGACCAAGGTAAGTGTCATTCAGTCTGGGTGGCCATCTCTGAAATGGCCTTCAGCCCTCAAATGTTAAAGTGAAATTGAATGGCTAATCCACTAAACCCTTGCACAAGGAATGGAGAGGAGTCTCTTGGATCAGCTCTGAGAGGACCTCCAGATTAACGGTCAGCATTCATTGAACAATCAAACAAACAAATAATTTAAAATTCAAATAATTTAAAAATAATTTAAAATAATTTAAAAAATATTGTTCAGAATAATACAGAATACCGTGAGGTGAATAGAGGAATGCTGAACAATTTGGATCTGATCAGAAATATTTCTTACAGTCAAAAACACTTATAAAAATGGTTCCCAAGTGTGAATGGATCTCTTTTGGTCCAAGACATTGTGCTAAAATCCATCTTTTCTTTTAGTCCCATGTATCCTACTTGCAGTTCCTTCAGGAAAGAGTCTATCCCTTTCCCTCCTCTTCTGAAATCCTAGGGGACTTTTAGTGATATCTGTAACGAACTGTGATGGCATTGGAGGTAAGTGTGTGAAACATGCTATCTGAGTGATGGCATCATGGTGCCTGTGTCATTACCTACTACCACCATGGATGCCCATAGAGCTTGCAGTTTTGCATGGACCACCATTACTGTCCCACCTTGTTTCATCCAGAGACATATCGTCATCTTTAACAATGAGTTGTTCTTCTACTTTCCATTTATTCCTATTTAACAGCTTGGTATCGCCATTTAGGAACACCTTAATATTTGATTAAAGAATTTGGAGATAAATAATGAAAGGGAATCTAAATTGCACATACTTTCTTGTCCTTGCTATTACTTAGTATTGAAATGGATTTAAAAACCAGCTTCACATTCTTCCAGAGTCAGAGAAGTAATGCAATATTCTAATTCATTTTGACATATAGGTGCATTCTTTGTATTTTATTTATTTAGGACATTTATCTGGCCACCCATCTTAAGCAAATAACTTTGGGTGGCTTGTAACCTTGCCAAGCAAATATTCCCCTAGAAAGGACGTTAAAAAAAAGAAAAGAAAAAGAAAAAAGATTGTCTATAATAATATTCAATAGGCTTTTCTTTTAAAATGTCTATTCTTAACATGAGTGCAATGTAAAATATTGTCAACTGCTCCACCTATTGACATTTTAGTAGAATGAGCATATTAAAAAAAATACACAAAAACACAGGCATCATTATGCATTTTCTGTATTTTGCATTCATTATGCTAGAAACCAGGGGTATCCAGGGGGTCAAAAGGATCAAGATGGTGGCTGTGATACACATAAAAAAGAGGTGCAGTTTTGAATGGGTGACCATAGACCCATCTTGATTTTTTTAACCCTCCCCACCCATGGACAGCTGTGCTGGAAACCTGTGAAGAACCATTAGAAAATGCAAAAGCAATTATATTGTTTGATAACAGAAACAAGTGTTTTTCTGATAGAATAATTTTAAATGGGTGTTAGCATTTTTTTTTTTTTTGCTAGCAAGCATTCTCTTCTTCAGGTTCCACATTTGGTTAAATGGTATGGAAAACAAAACCTCATTATTCAGTTTCCGAAAACCTACTGCGCACTGCTATTGTTAAAAGTAAGTTCAATTTTTTAATCTAAAATTTAAAATATTATTACTATATTATATAAATATAAAAATGGAAAATAGTTCTATAAAATGCCAATGTATGTAAAAAAGAAAAAGAAAAAAACACAATACACACAAAAACCATACAGAAAAAATTAACAGAGCAAACCTACATATATTACAGAAGGTATGTAACAATAAATCTTTACATTATATTGATAAAATGACAATACAGAAGCTGAAAGAGAGCATATATCTTCAAAAAAATTGATGATTAGTTATGCTAAGTTGTTGCATAACCTCCTGAATGAGTACAGGTAGTCCTTGTTTAGTGACTTCCTCATTTAGCGATTGTTCGAAGTTACAACAGTGATGAAAAAGTAACTTTGAGACCAGTCCTTGCATTTACAACCTTCACAGGCCTGTAAAGCAAAGGAAAGCTGAAATAAGAACATAAGCACCATTGTGGTTTCACTTAGCAACTGCTTTGCTTAACAACCAAGTTGCCAGTCCCAATTGTGGTCACTAAATGAGGACTACCTGTACTATAATATTATAGGTTTAATTATTTAAACCTTCTTTCACAGTTCTCACTCCAGCTATTTGTTCCTCAATTTTTAAACTCATCACTTTTTTCTGTCAGTTCATTTTGTACAACTCTGTATAAAATCACTTGAAAGGGAATAGGGATGTGCAAGAGTGTTCTAAATCATCTGTTTTTATATTTGTATTTTCTGATGTTATTTTTGTTTTAGGCATGCAACTGCAAGCCACATGAAATATCCTTTCCAGAGTAGCACATGACTGTCACAAATAAATTTTAAAAAAACCATATATATTCACAAAGAACCTACAAACTTTCAGCAGTTGTTGGGTTCCCTGGCAGGATTGACACCATGGTGTCATTTGTGTTTTTATTTGCTTATTAAGAAATATATATTTCAAAGCCGATATTCATTTTGATAAGCTCCCGAAAAAGAATAAATATGATAGATCCTAGAAAGCATGAATGGCTCATAACACAAGAGTTATGGACAGATTTCCTGCTGATCTGGCAGGAAGGCTAAGACAGGTAAGATTGTCGTGGCTAAAGATGAGGCTACGACTCAATTTCACAGAATAGAAATGGCTTTAGAATAACACATCAGAGAAGCTCTGCTGAGAGGTTTCAGAGGTGGGAAGTTAATGTGGAGAGTATCAAGGCTATATTCTGACAACACGACAATTCCTAGGATAGCCTCTGAAAATGTCATCAAACAGGAACGAATCTCTGCCTTTGCAACCTTTGATGTTTGATGCAACAAAATGAAAGTAACATTTGTGGCCTTCTGGTCGTCTTTCTTATTCATTCTTTGTTCCCATTACAGTCTCTGTCCTTACAGCAACAGAGGGACATAAAAAAAAAATAGAAAATGGCACTAAACCACCCCCCTTTTAGTGGGCACCAAATACCCCCCATCTTATTCCCTTTCAGTTCTGGGAACACTTTCACATCTCAGATTATTTATTCTTTTTAAGGCAACTTGCTTCTGGAGAAAATCTATCTATTTGGTTGCTAAGAGTCAACACTGACTTGATAACACTCAGTCAATACATCAGGCAGCCTGCACCCTATGGCCATGTTTGGCACACGATCTCCCCTCTGACTGCACTGCTAAATTTCAGAGTCCTGTCTTTTTAGACCCAGAAACACACACACACACACACACACACGCAGAGTAAAGGCTAAAATAGCTTTAATTTTTTTTTTTTAAGCAGTAAATTTAGCCTTGAGCTCAACTTCTGGCAACTTATGGGCATGTCCACCAAGTTTTCATGATAACATTCAAGAATGTTACCTAGCCAATTCAGTAAAACCAGTTCAATTTTTTAAAATTCTAAGCAGAGGACAATAATTTGGCATCCTCCTGGCCAACAAGCAATAACAGGCTCAGAGTAAGGCCCCCTACCTCGCCTCTCAACCTTTGGGGGTTCACGGCCAGTTGCAGATGCTGAAGAAGCAGTGGCATAAACCTCACTGAAGGTGCCTGGCAATGCCAGTCCAAAAGTGGTAGGGACTAAGTGAAAGGCACAATGTTGCCCCACCATCAGAACAGTTGAGTGGAAGGCGAGATGACCCTCACCGGCCTGGTTGTTAGAAGCAATGTTGGAGCATGTGCGTCCCACTAGTCCCATTTCCTGCTTGCTTAGCCCCCTCACCCCTTATCTACTCAGGAATTGGGTTTTTATAGAATACCTTTGGCAACAACTCCATTTTCTGTTCCAGGTGATTTTTTCCCAACTTCAACTGTTTAACTACAGCCCAATTTCCTAGTTGTCTCTCATCCAAATACTAACTAGGCCTGACCCTGCTCCAGTCACCTGCCACACTCTCCTTAAAAACCCCTCCCCCACAAAAAATCTTGATCACAGGAAATGTGCAAGTCATGACTTTACGCTTTTATGTAATCACCCTGTTACCTACAATCTTCATCCACTCTTCCCTAGAATTATTAAGTATAGGCCAGATCTCCTCCCCTATAACAGGCCAACATGGGCACACGCCTCCAACATTGTAAGCAAGTCACCATCTGCTTGCCTTCCCAACAGAAATTCCTAGAAAATATGAGTCCGCTGAAACTTGATCAATATCATTTGAAAGGCAGCTCTACAGCGCAAAATGAAAACAGTAAGCTTGTAGGCTAACAGCAGAGCATCAGCAGTGTTGCACAAAAATTAGGATTTTGGTGGTATTTTTAACAGCTGCAAGGAAGCTAAGTCCAAGCTTAGTGGGAGTTTTTACATTTAAAAATGTCCCTTGACATGGTCATTAATTAATCCCATTGTTCCAAAATCTGTCAAAAGGGTGTTTCAGCTCAAAAATATACAAGCTGCCAAGCTGCCTCCTTTTCTTGATGAAAAATGTGTCAAAGTTCCTTGAGGAAAAATGCAAATGAACTAGAAAGAAGTCAAATTGCTGACCTTAAAAAAGCCCTGGGGGCGATGGGAAAATAATCCAAAACGTCTGAGTCTCTTCTGCACTGAAATGTCCAGTAAACTACACTGAAGCCAAAAAGTAGCTTAAAAGGAATCAGAGACAAAAGGTATGAGAGAATGTGGGGAAGTTGGGAAAATAACCCACTGTTGGACATACACAACCAAGAGTTAAGACAAGAGTTTGTAGTCCAAGATGCCCAAAGTCCAGCAAGAAGAGAGTCATGTAGTTCAAAGTCTATCCCCTCATAATCAACTAAGAAAGAAGAGCTGAACATCCTAATGTGGTTTCCATGATTTTGTACCTTAACCCCTAATCCTGATATTAAAAACACTCTACAGAAATGTGTGCAATTCTTGCTTCTTTCTTTGTGTCTTGCGATGAGGATTTGACAAAGCTGTCTTACTTTTGACCTCTTCTGATATTATTCAAATTAGCTCTAAGAGACCAGCATTTTTGATAACAGAGGTCATAGGTGCACTGAGTTCTCTGATGTATTTATTTTGCATCAGCCACAGACATTCTGGGAAATAAATAACAAGATTCTCTATCTGAGGATTCTGTATGTTATCTATGTGCAGAAGACTTCATTTCCAACTAATACCTCAGGTTATAAAGAGCAAATGTACCTGATCACAAACCTTCAACATTTCCATGATACTAAAGGTAGTATAGAAAATTTGTCTTCATTTCATGAGATTTAAATAGCACTTGATTGGCCAGAGATGTCAGCAAATCCCATTAGTTCGAAAGAGGCTGTTTTAACATCAATATGGGAAAAAAAAATACATAGAATGAAAAAATAATAGTACTGAATTAACATGGTAAAAATAAAGGTTTTGCATATAAATATAGCATTAAGTAATCAGTCATGTCAGTGAGGATTGCATAATGATACTACTTCAAGTGTCTTTCTATATTGCACTTCTGTGGTAGCAAACATGATTTGATTAACAGCATGGAATTTAGCTGCATTCCAGTTGAAATGAAATTTGGCACAATGGTTTTATTATTCCTGTTTAATGCTGCAATAGCATAATTTAAATGATTGTATGATTTAAAATACACTCTATCCTGAGTATATGCATTATGTTTTTTTCCAGAATTCAAACAAATAGCTGAATTAAAAATGCTTTTAAAGCATCTTTTAATTAAAAAAAAAAAGATTAAGGGCAATGTAGAATCTGAAACTTGGAAACAACTTTTCTCCGTTGATTTTATCGTAAGACCTCAACAATTATGATTGTTGGCCTTTCTATTGCTCACCTTTTGCCAAAGTAGAGCCAGGGTAGCAGGCAGGATTTCTAGGCCCTGGACCCTGGTTTCTGCCAGGATCAAAAAGTTTAAACTTTTAGGCTGTGGATGATTTCTACTAAAATGATTTTAGATGCTCATTTCCTATTCTCCCAATTAATCCAATTTAAACAAACGTTCCAAACATAACACTAATACATCTGTCCATCTTTATAGATACTGAAGGAAAACTGAGATAGCAGCTTGCTATTACCCATAGCTTAACAGAGATGAGAGGGTTGTATGTGCTGATTGTCTGTCTACGTGAAAGACAGAAATCTGAATTGCTGATTACTTGAATTAGTGCAATGGGATCTTGTATGATTCATAGTTGGGCAGAGAATAAACTTTGGTTTATTAAATTAATTGAACCAATGGGCTTATCACTCGAATTAAGCATATAGGGGGGGAAAAGCCTGTGCCCTTCTACTATATTAACTTCAACACATTTTTCTTTGTATACGTTCAAGAAATAGACACTTGGCCTCTCAGCATTTGAAATGCCGCTACAGCATCAGTTACAATCTTTATTCTCTGCTCCTTCCTTGGCTTGGTTTTAGAAATGACTCCCACACACACTTAATTGTATTTTGCATTTGTTTATTTTGATAGATTTATCATCTGCCTTTTGCACAGCAGCTCACAGCAGTGATAGACTTATATGTAATATGTCATTTAACTGTCCACATACTAAGAGGAAGCACAAAATGAAGGAACAGGTTTTCTAAATTTTTTTGAATGAGAAGCTTTAGTAAAAAGATAACCCAAACAACCACATAAGTGAACATATCTAAAGAGAAACAACAATGGGTTTGTTTCAGCCCAGCCCATGAATAACACTAGCTAAAAAAAAAAAAAAAACCCCCTGTAGCCCAGACTTGACAAACATATTAGCCAATAATACAGCAGGCACAGGGTCCATCTGTGCTGTCTAGAGCCATTTCGAATTTAGGGGGGAAAAACTGATTCAGGGCTAGACCTATATCTCTTATTCTTACCCATATTAGATGTTTTCCTCTAAAAGAAAATAAATAAGCAAGAAAGAGAGGTGCTACGTAGTCTGCTGCACTGATGCCATCTTGGGCATGATAAATAAATCTCTCCCCCCCCCCGCAAATAAAACTCTATAAGTTGATTTCAAACATTATGTTCCTAACATAAAGGCAGGTGGAATCTCCCTCCCTTCTCTTCTTTAGGCTAGACCATAGGAAAATATTGCCTGGTCCCGTTATCTTACTCTTCATTACCACTACCTACTGTTCCTAATAATAAGTAAAATTCACAATCATCTTCCAAAAACGTTTAATCACTAGCAATATTGACTTATTTCCCCCATTTTTTCAGATGGGTGTAATTTTTAAGACTTTATTTTAGTCCTTTATTATACTTTAGGCTCAAATGTGATAGATACATCATTATCCAGGATGTAAGTTGTTCTCTTCTAAAATGTGTCTTGATGATATCACTAAATGGCTTAGTCTTTGCAGTAGTAATTGGGTATAGTCAGCAAGTTTCCCATGCTTTTTTGTTTAAGTCTGCGTGATACAAAAGTTGTGCCAAGCTTGTATTTTTAAGCCTTCCCCCATAGTCATGTTAAAGTTTATTTACCGGCAAACACCAAAATAAACTGTAATACCATAGTTATGTTTATGTGTATAAGTGCAGTGTTAATTCCTTCCCATCATGCCACCATTATTTATGCAAGTGAATTTTATTAAGAATTTTTAGAATTCATAAAACATTTTATTTTATACACAAACATACAGTATGTATCACCGCCCCTCTTAGAAATTAGCAGCATTATCAAAACCTCAAACCCATAAACTCCCAGAAAGACATCAGATTTTTCTTAAATGATCGAGGCACAATCAACTGGGCAGTGTTCCTGTGCAAGTCAGGGTTTCTATACACCCCTAGATAACTCCCACTTATCTTCGAAGGACTTGACAGATGGAAAACTTCCAACCAGATTGTGCTTTTGAATGTTTACATATAGCACTTACTTCCCCACATCATCACCAATTTATCTGCAGGTTGCAATGCGGTTGGTTTGGGGGTTTTTTGGTTTATTGTTTTTTGGCAGCACTATATGAAACATGTAAAAAGTGCAAATTATAAAAAGCAGTGAGGTGATTTCCCATCTGAGCTAGAAAACATGCACATTATTTCAGCATATAAACCCAACATCCCCTTCTATCCGTAACACGTTGAAAAGAAGGTCAACTGCTTAGATAAAATTTAAAAGAATGATTATATCCATTTAAATGATACATTTTTGGCCAATCATTAGATTTGGATAACAATCCTTAAACAAGTTAACATCATCTGTATCTTCAAGTTTAGCATGAATGTATAGTGTAAACTTAAGCATAAATTGACAAAATTGAACGCCTCAAGTCTTAAAAAGAATTAGTGAGTTTTCTTCATGGGTCATTTTTACTTGCATTTCTTATAAATATCATTATTTGGACATTGAGTAGAAATCCTTTAAAATAATTTTAATCTGCTTTCAGGCACTGTTCATGGAATATGCACAGCTATTGCTATATTCCAATAGCTTAATGCACTTTGTGATTCGCTAGATCCAAAGATAGGACATGAAAACAAAGACATCATTCTTAACAAGACATGCCACTTCTTTTTTGACCACTGCTTATTCACCTTTGCAGAGTTAAGAGATATCCTTTATCTGAAACAAGGTGATGTTATTGCATTCTAATTATATCATACAGTACACATATTTTACAGAAGCTGCAGGATTAAAATAAAAAATCACCATTTTATTTACTGATGAGACACGAATGTGAGAATTTGATCATGAATTTTGTAGGCCATGTTTACCTTTCGTTACAGTGTGATCATTATAAATAATGAGTAGCCCTCTTCTAAATTAAGGCTTTCTTTCATTTCAGTGGAGTTAAGCTTTACATGGTACAAATGGCTTCCGCCATTTAACTAGCTCTCTAGAGATAGAAACTTCTGAAGGTTCTTGCCAATCTATTACAGGATTTTCCAAAAGCAGAAAATGAGTAAGGAGAAGCTGAAAATGTACTTGTTATAGTTATCATTAGCATACATATTATTTATCCAGAGAGATTAGACAGGAGGGTTGGCACTTCGTCATTAGAACTTCATATGCAATTAATTTCCCATAGGAGAATTTGATATTTCATTATTTGAAAAAGCTGTAATTGAATTATGTTTTAATGTTTTCTGGCACAGCTAAAAAGAGAATTAACAAAATCAAACCATGGGTAAGATGAAAAGTCAATCAGTATTTCTATCTGTTCATCAGATGGGAACCAACAAGCAGCTACATTCTTTCTTGTGTATATGCTAATTTTAGTTTCCTGATTATACTTCCTACTAAGAGATAATAATTATGGACAAAGGAGGGAATCAAAAGCACATTCAAGAAAACCCAGGATGGATGAGATGTAGGATTTTCACAAATAGCTACAATGGCAAGACAAAATGAACCACTACAATGGCTGTAGCTGCATAGCAACATTATTAATAATATGTGCTAATTTTAGCTGGAGTTGAGTTGTCATCTGACAAGGATTGTAGATCATTTTATAGCAGCTCTAGCAATGGTCAGAAATAATTGCATCCAGCCCAAACTGCATTTGCAGCAAAGCTCATGGCAACACTGTTAATGTAACCGTCCCTTTTTGGTGCTTCAGAATAGCTACGGCTTGCTCATGAGTCACGCCTTCCAGAGACTGTCCATTAACAGCTAAAATCTGATCACCACGCTTCAGTCTGCCATCATCTGCAGCCGCTCCCTGGAAAGAAAGAAAACAAAACAGACCAGAAATAGTACACATCATCAGCCAAGCAATCTTCTGGGGCTAAAACAGTAGATAACAAATTATGCTGAACATGGGGATGGTAGGGCTTTCTTAGGATGAGCTTCTTCAACCACTTGGGGTATATTGGATTTACAGTTCCAACAAAATGCCTAGCCAATGAGACTAATACAGTGCTAGACCATGTGATATTACTAAGTTGGGAAGGCTAAATTGGAGGATTCTTGGTTGGGAAAGATTCTCCTCAGACAAAAGTTTACTTTTTATTTCAAATTTACATTATATAGCTAATTAACAATTTTGGCATGATTATCTCCATCATAGAAAGTGATAAATTTGCACGCATAGATCTAATCACAGAGGCTCACATGTATATTGTGTACTGAAACTGGGAACTGATGGTGAAAACTGTCCCACAAATTTAAAACAAAAAGTAACAAAAGCATCAACTATGTGAGCTCATGTTGCTGATTGTTAGCCTCTGACAGGCTCATCCTTCCAATGAAATCTTATATATTGAAATCCATACTTATTTTTATTTTTATGGAATTAAATAACTCACTGACATAACAGGTGAACATTTTCAGGCTGCCTAGGTTCTACTGTTCCCCTCATTTTCTTTTTTTCCAAGTATTTCTTCTGATTATGGACAGGGCAATCCATTCCCACATCCTACAGTTCCCATCTCATACTATCTGTCAAGGAAAAGACCCTATTTCCCATTTTAAATGTTGCATACCACAGCAAAGATGAACATATTAGTGAGACACGCACAATACATCTCTATACAAATAAACTTGCAATAAAATAGTAAAACCACGTCTACCAGAAGGAAGAAGCAAGGAGATACTGAAATACTTTTGACTATGATCTTAGCTAGCATCGTGTTAACTAACTTATTTGCTTGTCTTAGGTTCATCTGGAATTTGAGATAGAACTATATTAAATTAACATGATTTGATACATTTATGTTTTATAAACTGCTCATTGCATAAATTCACTCTGAGCACAACGTTTGGAGGATAAGGCAATATACAAATAATCAGTTGCAGCCTCTTTGGAATAATTTATCTTGTATATCAGACCAGGCCCCTCCTTGTGGAATTTTGAGAAACAACTTAGAGAAGACATGATATAAGTAGGGAGTCCCCATCCTAAGTTGTATTTGGAAATTTGGATGTATTTTAGTGACCACTGTTTTCTTTGCAATGTCTGTTACTTTTGCAACTTGCATATTTTTAATGAGTTATGTTAATTTGTTTTATTATTTTAATCTTAATATTAAGAAAGGAAGAAAGAAATGTTAACTTCTCAGTGTCCTGTTGGACAGGAGTGTCATTTAAACCCAATTAAGTAAGTAAATGAACAAAAAGTAAACTGATTAGGAATATGACATATAATTTATATATGAATTTTGTAGAAAAATAATATACAAACATGGGATTTTTCCTCCTCGAATAAACAATGTCTTATGAAGGGCCAAGAGTTTTTAATGGTAAAGATTAACAATTTTATCCACAAGTTCCTGCTCCAGTCTCAATTAATTCCTTCTGCAACTGTTCCTTAAAATTTGCACAATACTTCTACACACAATATGACCCTTTAAGTGAAGCTTTTAATAGTGTAGAGGAATGTGGCCAATATTTAGAACATAAACGGACCCAGAGGGCCTAGTACTTTGTCCCAAAAGCTGATAGTTGATTTAAGGATAATATTCATTTCAACTAAACTATTAAAAAAAAAAACCTGCAAGGAGGAATATGCAAGGGGCGTAGTTCCAGTTTTCTATATATTATTGTAAGGTATGAAAAATCCTACTCTTTCCACAAATCCCTCATCAAAAGAGTGGGTCAAATTAAATATGAATGCAAAGGGCCATTACAAATGAGTTTTGGAGTACCTTTGCAAAAATGGTCTTGACATATATAGGGAGGTCTCCTTGGGGGCTTCCGAAGCCTCCTACAATACTAAAGCCCAATCCATCTGAGCCTTTCTCCAACACAATAATTTTGGGCTGAGGTGATCTGAAAAACACAGCAAACACCCATTAGTACATTGCTTATTTAATATGAGGAAAAATAGCATCACTACAGCTGGCTCATGCCATCAGAGCAATGGCTGTCCTGCACTGGTTTTGTCTACTTTGTTAGTAGGTCCCAAGCTTAAGATCTTTTTTAGCACTGAGATTAGATGTCCTTTTAATGGGAGATATTAAAGTCTGGAATACAAAGTATGGATTCTATAACTGATCCTCCCAATAAATTAGCTATGTGCTTGCAATAATGCTGTCAACTCCCCCCTTTAATACTTCTATGTCTACATTTTCAGCTGCTGAAATCAGAAAGTAAAACATTTCCCATCACTGAAAATGCTAGGGGCTACTGATCTCTGCAGCGATTAATATTGTAAGAACTCATGAGACAGAGGATACATAGCACCGAAACACTACAGATCAGGAATACATACATTTTCTAATTTGATTGGAACATTTGTTTGGTATCATAATTGTTTCTGGCAAAAGCCTTTAGCACAATTCACCTACTTCCTTTTTTCCTGACCTGATGCCCTCCAGATGTGTTGGGAGTACAAGAAAGTCTGGAGAAGATACCTAGTTGAGGTGGAGAACCAGTTAAAAGAGAAGTGTGGAACTAGATCCAAGCAGGCTGGGTGGCATCATAGGTCAGGATTAAAGGAAGGATGGCAAGCCCCAGCCTGATCTCATCCATTTCTCCTGCATGGAGAAATGTGTTCTGCACAGGATCAAGTGGGACTCAGCCTGTGCCCCCAGTATTCCCTTCATCACTGTCTTTCTCTGTATATGCTGGACACACACATGCCATCTTGTTCTACACAGACAGAATCATTCCTTGCAGGATGAAGCAGAAAGCTAGTGCTCTCCCTTGAATGGAGTGGTTTCAGCCTTCTAGCTAAATGAGCAGGTGATGATAGAAGACAGTTTGTATACCTGACTTAACAACGGTACATGCTATTTGAGAAGTATTGCCACTAAACAACTTTAGCGACATGACCATATTTCCAGTAATGAGTTCCTGCAACATAGATGTAGAGATAAGCAACTATGTTCATTTAACTAGGAAGATGGTAACAAGGACAATCTCCATTGGCACTGTGCTTAAATGAAGCAACAATGGAAACAGAAGCTCAGCAAACTACTGTTCTTAAAGCTTTGACATGCATCTGACTTGCAGGAAACGAAGAGGTGGAACAATTCTCTCTTTCTACACAAAATACCAAACAAGAAAGTGCTTGGCAAAAAACTGCCAAGTCCCTTGAAGAAATATATATCTCAAATGTACATATGCAAGGATTAATTCAAGTGCTGGCTTTACAGCAATATGTGTCTGAACGCTATGATTCATGAATCACAGTGAGAAAGCATTAAACTTAATTTTTAAAAAAGGACAAGTTCATGGAGCATTTATCATGACATTTTTGGGAAGAGTGAGGAAACCTATTCCTCATTTAATTTTTCTAACAGAAGATCATCTGGAATTTCAGTTGTCATAAGTCATCTCAAGCGAAAACACAGCCAGACAGAAGGAGAATAAACATGACAACATGTCAGTGGGGGAAAAAAACCCCAAACCTCAGAAGAACCGCTTGTTACAGATCAGTCAAAAGAATGAAAACAAAAATCTTCCAGCAGTCTGAAAAACTGAAAAACATAATAGTGTATTTTGTGCTATTGGAAAATTTATCTGAGATTAGAAGCTTGAAAGCAGAAATATTTACATTATCTACCAGGAGAGAGGACAGTAAAGGATTTCTACAAATGCTATAAAATGGATATAGGGGGAGAGAAATTAGAAATATTGAAAGCATGCCTGATTCCTATTCATGAACTAATAGACATGACATGTATTTGGATTATCATATATTAAGATGAACAGGGAAAATGCTCAGATGCTGCTTCTCTCCCCAAATATCTGTCAAACTTAAGGAAAGCAGAATTACACAATTCAAGCTCAACACAATTCTGTGTTGGATACAGTTTACACAGAACTCAGCTTTCAAAAATTAAATCATATGAGTAACGGCCACCACTGCCATATACAAGGAGGAATGCACGTCTTCAAAGTTGAGAAACAGTAGAAAGCTAAAATTATCTGACAGTGTAAAAGACTCTAACGTAACGCACGAAGTCAAAAGGCTTGCATGCATGAAAAATTAATCATACATCTGTCTGTCTGTCAGTCCACCTAACTTGAGAAAAGCACTGTCATTATTTACCCTATTTTTCCATCAACAAATGGCACAAGGCTTATACTGAGCATGATTTTGTTACTTCTTCTAACACATTATCAACAAATGTGCATACTTACTCTGAGTATTCAGGATGATGCTCCATAGGTGGACTAAAGTTAGTGCTGGAAGTCATATTCTCTATCTGGCTGGCGATGGCACTGATGTTGGTGTCAGCTACTACCTACAGCACAATGGAAGAGGAAATAGGTATCGGCAAGCTATGACTTGGTACTGTTTGAAAAACATTAGCAATGGGCTGCATTTGACGAAAGTACTAATGCATCATTGAGAAGTGAAGCACTGACTACTGTAGCTTCCTTAAAGCTAAAGTGAAAACGGACAGGTTAGTATGTAAAGCAAGAACATGTTTATTCAGGGTTCAATTACTCCTTTAAAGAGCTGATTCAGCTTCCCAAATTGGAGCTGGAGGAGGTGACTCTTTTAGCCCCAAATTTCATCGTAAGCGTTAATCCACTTGTTGAAGATTTTAGTTTCAAACCCAGGCAATACATCAATAAAACTAAACTTTCCAGTTAGAATGAAATCACTGCAAAACTGCTCATGTTTCCTGGTTGTTTGTTTGCTTTTAATGGCAATAGTGTGTGTTTGTGTGTGTGTGTGTGTGTATACAGACAGTAGACCTAATGAGAGGGGATATATGAAATGTATGAGGGAACTATGGATGGGCAGAAGACCTACATCCACACTAACTGAGAAACAGCTAGTTAACCAATGCTTCAACATAGTGAAGAGGAAGCTGCTCTCACAATTTGAGATACAGCAACTACACATTATATCCCAGACTCAAGAAGACCTGGAAGAACAACTGGATGTGCAGCCAA